TACGTAATTTTGGCTTGCATCATTTCGATTAAATAAAATGCAGCAGTCAGTAATCGATAGGATTTCATCAGGATCAATGATTGGACAAATATAACATAAGTCGTCAAGCAATAATCAGTTTTTGTGAATAACCTATGTAAGGTTACTTTTAATCAGGATAGCTAAGTGGTAATATATCTTATTGTGATAGTGCGTGGCATGGCTTTGGATCTAGTGGAAACCATCAGTTCTTAGAAAATTGTAGATACACCCTACTCATGAGTGTCATCTAGGACGATAGCAAGGTCAGAATATGGTTTTCTCTCTGTCGTCTCTAACCACCTAACATCAAAATATAGTGCATGTGATCAATAAGTATATTTCAGTTTGATTGATAGAATTTAATCTGAACTGAAGACTAGATAGACATGAGTCTGATGATAAATTTGTAATTCGAAATGATCCTTTAGCTGACCATTTTTAAATAATGACTGTTGTGTGAAACATAATAAATAACCAGAGTGTTTTTATCCCATTTTAAATCTTTCATTGTAAGATTTGATTGTCAGCTTTAATCGCCAACAGTTCAATCTTTAGATAATATTCTGTTTTTATATTGGAATATTTGGTAATCAGAATATAACCAAAAAGAAGATGATAGCTTGTTTACTTAGACCTACTGAACACATCCTTTACAGTTGTTCATTTGAACGTTTACTAAGTTTAACATTTCCTTTCAGAAATAGTTTAATGTAAGTTATTTATGTTCTGTGAAAATTTGATTATAGAGCGAAAAAATTGCTGTCAAACGTAATTCTTTTCGGCAATACAAAAAGATGTCTCATTATTCAAGTTGAATATTATGGACGTTAGTCCTCAGAAATGCTTGGTTAGAAATATTAATTTTAGAATTTTCGGTTTGACTGATAACGCACTCGTCGGCAAAGTTTGTCTGTATTATTACGGAAATTAACTGTTGTTGTAGGATTCGAATGCTAATCAGTTGGTTTCATGATCAGAGATATGGCAACTAAATTATTCATTTCGAAACAAATATCTCATAAGATTGAGAGATTCATACTAATTGGTCCTTGATTTTACATCAATATTCAGTCGCTTATTCTAGTTGGTTACACATAGTATTCGCAAGTGGCAAAGATATGCAACAGGTTAAGTTGTTACACTAAATCAACAAAGTGAGATGAAGTTATGGAGATGAATATTTAAGTAGTAGAAATAGTAACAATATTAATGGCAGTCTAAGAGATCAAGTATAGAGGATATTTACCAAGAAGGAAAGCATAACTCAATTTTTGAAGATTAAATTTTATTGGTTGACAGAGAGTGAGAAAATCTATACCTTTTTTTTATTGAGTCTAAGCCATTTCAGTCAACAGATTATTTCAATGTCCCGTTTGGAACTGGATCAGTGAAATTATGTCAGTAATAAGGACTAGATAATTAAGATATCGGTTACTTCTAATCAATTTATTAACACAAATAATATTGTAAAGTTTTCTTTGCCTTTCTACGCAACAATAGGACTATCAAAATATTACAGTATTTAAAGAGGTAAACCAAATGTAATGAAAGATTACAATGGATTGATCACTGAGTGGCGATCAATGTCATGCGTGTCTAGTCCTTATTAGTGCAGTTCGAATGCTATCGATCATGTTGCAATGTGGCCACCAGTCTAGGTGACTCGACACTGCGGGCACTATATGTTGAGATTAGATGCTGATTGGAGGTAGTCGACAGGAAAGCCTGGACCCGGGTTTCGTACTACTACATAGTTTTTTTATAACATCTGTTTAACGATATGAATATTTATATATTTCAAAAAAGTTAGTATATGTAAAACTATACTTCATTGTTATTTTGAATGGCTCACAAATGTTAGAATGGTAAATACTTATTGAATAAATAAATAAATAAGTTAATCAAATGAAAGTTGGTTATAATTGATAAATATCCGATTTGATAGCAAGTAGTACTCTTATCATTCACAACATTTTTCATTGGTTTGTTCTTGGAGAAAGAATCTTAAAATATGATGATGAATGTAAAGTTTGTTAGTAGGTTGAATACATGAAAGATGATTTAATCATGAAAATGAATATATAATTTTTTCGTTTATTTGGTTAACTTTCTTTTCACCTACTTATCTATTCATCCGTGTTTTTGTTTACAGAAGACATAGAATTAAACAATTTGAAACTATTCACATAAATTTATACGAATATTCGTCAAGATTAGAACGAATAGTTTGACAGTAATTGAGCGCCGTGTATAGAGAAGTCATTATATGTCAAAATTATATTTGAAATATTCTCAGCGATTGAAATTTAACTAATTCCAACGTTTCGTCCAGCTAACTTGTCTGGACTTCTTCAAAGTAATAATCAAAATCAAAATTATCAAAGAAAAATATAGCTTTTAACTTTGATAATTTTGAATTTGATTATTACCCTGAAGAAGTCCAGACAAGTTAGCTGGACGAAACGTTGGAATTAGTTAAATTTCAATCGCTGAGAATATTTCAAATATAATTTTGACATATAATATTCACATAAATGATTTTCATAATTATAATAATGTTTTATCTCTAATTCATCTTCATATAATTTTAAGATTATTAAAATGAAGTGCACTATTAAATAACAAGTTTCACACTCTCAATTAGTTTTTATAAACGTGTGAAAATTAAGTAGATAATCAGATTTACATTCATACAAAAGTGTTTCCGGTTTTTCCCTTGAACAAAAACATTTACCTAATTATAATGCAAATATAAGTTTGAATTGTTTTCGTTAATACTATTGTTTCTTTTAACATAAGTTGGAAAACTATTATAAACTCTGGGGGGGGAGTGTAGTGTGGCATCGAGTCGCGGTTGACTATGATCACCACTACAAGAAGGTTGAGTACCAGATATCATAAGGCGATTGGAGGTTGTAGCGAGATATATTTGTTGGCGATCTCGTGGTATCGAAAGAATACCGAGATCGTGCCAAAGGAGTACAAGCGGAATCACCGAGCAAACGTAAGTGCGTGCAAAGTCACAATCAACGGAAGAATGTATGTCTTTAGTACAGTTTAACAAACAAGTACAGTAAAATAATCACTGGTACAATTGGTTATAATAATAATTTTTTCCATTAAACTAATCGCGTTCTCTTGATAAAAGTAGGTCACTACAGGGGTTTTGTGATTATTTCTTGATAGTTGAAGATTTTTCAATAGTCTATAGTCACCCCAATCCTACATGAGTTCGAGTTTAGAAAGTTGAAGACTTGGGGAAAACAAGATGCTTCTAACAAATGAATAGGAATTCAATGTTTCACATAATTAACTTCAGTTAATTTGTACAAGTGAAGTTCAAGAATATCAAAGTTAAAATATTTTAAACTGATAGTGATCATCGCTTTGTGGATTATGAATTGAATAAAGTTGGAAACTTAAACTACTAGATTGTAGTTTATTGATCTATAAATATGTACCGTACTCTATCATGACACCTATATTTTACTTTCTCCTTGGTTCTCCATTTAGAGTCAATCGTGACCAAAAACGTTCTTTAATTTGAACTATTTACAAATAGACTAAAATTTACCTAATTGACTTGAAGAAAAGTTTAAGCAATTTTAACTGTTCTCAATGTAACTCATTTTTTAACAGAAAATTTAAGACTTAGCTTTGTATTCATAAGATGTTTCATTAAACATCTAATAGGTATGCACAATCTGTTCCTAGTAACTTAACATCGACGTTGCTGATTGTTTGAATGAAGAATACAAATTTAAATCTGATTAAGATTACTGACATTTTTTCACTACGCCAAATAAATGATGTAACATATTGATATAGGGTGCACTATATTTTGATGTCACATCATTAGAAGAAATCAGCAAGATGGCCTAAATCAAGATTTTATGTTAACTAATATTTGTCAACAAGGTATATTTAGAGTCTAGAGTAAATGTATGATCTCTATGAGATTTTAATTTTCTCTTGATAGCTCTGGTTCACCATAATATTACGAAACAGGAATGATAATCATAAACATGCAAGTGAGTAATTATTCCTGAAGTTCTCAAGATCAGTGTTGTTTAACCATAACAAGGGTAAGTCAGGTATCACCTATGAAAATGGATGATAAAAATGAAATATCACGAATTGACTTAAGTAAGAAACGTGAATTATTTGACCTTAACTCATTGTAGATTAGCTCATTGTGAAGATTGGAAGTTTTTGCCTTAATTTTAGTTGGAGTTATCAATTGATACTCCTTGAGACTTACGTTACTATGTTTGATAGTATATTTTCTGGTTTGAAACGATTGTTTAGATAAACAATATTTCATCAATATAAGCTGTGATGAAATGAAATACTCTAAATAAACTAATGTAACTATAAAAAACAGTTTAACAAAAAGCTTCAATGTATTTCTCTATATTTAATTGTAAACAATGTTTACATTATAATGAATGATTCCCTTAACAACATATGAACACTTTTCTTGTTAATTTTAATTGTCATAAAACTGAAATAATGGATAGTGGTCAATTAGTCTTTTTTAACCAATTATTTCTTAACAGAATATATTCAACTGCTGAATAATAATAATAATCCTTATCAAAGGAAGAGTACGTTGATTTCTGTATTCTTCAACTTTTGTTTAGTACAATCTCTTTCGTGTGAACAATGAGTATATTGATACGAACAGGAGAAAAATAAATGGGTGTATACTATCCAATATATAAATTAAATAGTCTTACAATGTTTATTAGTTGGGGTTTTTTTTGTTTAAAAATGTTAGGTTTGAATAAAAGGCAGAATAAACAATTATACTACTGTTTAATTACAACTTCATGATTACGGACATTATACTTGTCAATCAATAATGAACATGACCAACCAATCCGATATTAGTTGTCAATATTAACCAATAATGGATCAGGGATAGATTATATATACAGTAAATGTAAATAATAAATCTCAAGTGAAACATTTTACTCATATTGTTAATAATTTAAATCCATGTAAGTTGCTCCTGAGATTAATGGGATTCATATTTGACATATATCTTTGGTTAGTATCAGAAGGGGTTTTGTGGAGATTGTAGTAATTTCAATAGTTGAGATCATGAGTCAATTCAAGCTAGACCACTATGGAAAACCTGGAATCACTGGACAGCCGTTTCGTCCTATTGTGGGACTCCTCAACAGGGCGCATCCACAATCCCGGCTCGCGGGTTTTGAACCCAGGACCTGTAAGTCTCGCGCGAACACTTAACCAATAGACCACTGAGCCGGCATCCAGTAGTTTTAATGTCTAACATCAACTAATCCACGAAACTGAGTGACTCGTCCATCATTGTCTTCAGTGAGTTCCTATCTCACAACTGACCCAGTTGAACTCCACTGGTCACTGTTTCTCACTAGAACTCCAAGATATACATCTTGAAGCTAGTTACTAGTGAACAGATGTTGTAGTAATTTCAATAGTCATGATAGATCTTGGGTTCGAATTTTGAGAGCAGGATCTTGGATGCGCGCTGTTGAAGAGTCCCACAATAGAACGAAACGACTGTCCAGTGCTTCCAGGATTCTGATGGTGGTCTAACTTCAATTCACCCATGATCTTAACTACTGAAATATATATTTGAATTAGTTTTGAATAAAATTACTCACTAAGAACTATTAAACATCGTATAAGAAGTTAGACTTTTCTCATCTCTTTAAATGAATGATTACAAATTCGAATTACATATTGTTGTACCATTACGAGAAAAAAATTTCAATATTCCTATCGTTGATAATTTTGTTTGGATTTTAATCAATCTATGTTGGAATGTAAGTACATCCAACTGATGAGTCTCAAATAAGAAAAAAAAAACAGTATTCTTAGATTCCACTTGTGGCTACTATGCAAATTTACCAGAATCTTTGAGAATTAATTGATCATGATTCATTTATAATGTATTTAGTCACATATTTCTTTCAGTTCTACCTGATTATTATTATCATTTACAAGAGAATAGCCTAAGCTAGATTTAACTAATTCACCAGTAAAATAATTTGTTTAAAATGTTAGATTTACAGAATTGAAGTCACTTTGACAAAAAAAATGCACACAAACTTGAACGATTTATAACTGTGATTCTTCTTGGTGCTTTATAAAACAATTTTTTTTTCTAATTTGAAACTGACTTTCATCATAAAATGACATAAACTAGAGAACATTTTAAAGTCTGAATGTAAAGATAAACAGAAAGATACCAAAGTTGGAATTTAGATATTAAGGAAAATTAACAACAAGAAATGATTTCAATCAAAATAAATAGAGTTGAGTTTTAAACTTGTCTGAAAGTTGTTTGGTTTAATCATTAGTCTACATCTTAATTTCTAGTGGATGATTAAACTAATCATTATTGCATGCAATTGGTTCCCTTTATGAATTTGAATAGAGTAAGAACAAACATTGATGCAGAATAGTATGAATTCATATTATTTCGAGGTTTTTCGTCAGCTGCTTACAAACCAAAATTGTGATAGAATTTTGGTTTATAAGCAGCTGACGAGAAACCTCGAAATAATATGAATTCATACTATTCTGCATCAATGTTTGTTCTTGCTTTATTCATAATCATTATTGATTGAAAAAGTAGAAATCTATTTTTGATATGTATATAATAGAAATTTAAAAAGGTCTAAATTATTGATTCCATGGTCAGTTTCCAACAATATTCTTTAATTTAAGGAAAAAAAGAGAATAAAACTAAGTTTCCCATAGATTAAAAATACCCCCCCCTTAGCTCTGATAAAATCAATTTTTTAGTTAAATTTTTTAAAAAAACGGTAAGAGTAAACCTTAAAAAGTCCCTTTATAACTTTCATAGAAACTCAGATGTATTTACAATCCATTTCCTGGTAAATACTGATTCTATTTTAATGAATATGATTGTTTCAGCTATTGAAAAGATGAATTTATGATTAATGTTACCAGTTTCTAAAACTATTTTGGGATCAGTAATAAAAGACTAATTAAAATACAAAATGAAATTGATACATTTAGCTTGGAGAGATTATATTACAAACTGAATAAGTGGGATATATATATTTAAAGTTGATCATTAAATAACAATACTTAGGTTATTATCCTTTTAAACAAATTCTTTCTAACCTTATAGGATATGTAAATGAATAATGCAAACAAACTTTGGTAAATTAATTAAAAGTATTATCATAGATTTCTATTAGTAAGTACATAAATATATTATGCAGTTAAATAAGTATTAGAGCATATCTATGTTGTAAACATTGTTATCACTTCAAATAATCAGTTCATCATATATCATTGAAATATTTATTTGTAATTTACAACCTATTTCAATGTTTATATTATAGTAATCTATTTGTAATGGCAAGAGTTAGCAACGGTTTACAAATTCCTTTATCATGGATTCCAGCCAAAGATGGTATACTTCCAAAGAATGCTGTTAAAGCAGATGAATCAATTTTTGTGGCTCGTTGTCAAATAGATGATAATTTAATTTGTGGCAAATTTTCAGAGAAATATGGAAAAGCATATATTCCACTTGACGGTAAAGAGTTAGAATTCACAAACTATGAAGTATTATGTAACACTGGTATTCCTGGTTGTCGTATAGGGTATGTTTACCTATTTACTCGTTCAGTGTTACAGATATTTTATTTAGAATTCAATTAATGATATCCTAGCTACAACAAAAAGTAATGATCATAAGATCTAAAAAATTTCAAATTTTATTCTTGCTATGATAAATACATTCTTTTACATCAATTATAATCATTCAGGGAATCCTTTCACTTTTTAGTTACAGTGCGTTAATCTTCCAAATTAATATATCTGTCCAATCTTCTTCCGTATTCATCATTTATCGTGGTTTTATTAAACAATAGATCGGTAGAATAAAACTACTTAATAAATCATTACTATTCAATTAATACTTTAACCATCCTATAAATTCACTAAACTATTGAGGAGGAGAGGAGGATCGTGTCATTCGTAGTAAGACTGAAGCATATACAGCATGTTATTTAAACTTTCAATGCATGGAATTGATTGACTTCAAAATGATTCATAACTCAAGAAAGTCTTTACTTTCTAAGACATCGTGTATGATTAAATATATCAAAGTAGTATGTGAAAATAGTGTATTTTATACGCTTTTGTTGAATTTCTTGATGTAATACTTTGTTTATCAAAAATTTAGGGTGACGAAGTTTTTGCAGTCAACTTTTGTTCCCTACTATTACATATGTTTATAGTGTATTTAGTATGGCAATTGAAAATGAGAACTCATTAGTCTATTTATGGACTTCAATTTTGTCATTTGGCTAATATTCGGTCAGTTGACCAACAAATTTGTTTTTCTGATTGTTATTTAGGATGGCGATTTGAAGAGATTGTAGTAATTTTATTAGTTGAATTCATAAGTTGATCTATGTTAGACTACCACTGAAAACATGAAAGTACTGGACGACCGTTACGTCCTAGTATGGGATTCCTCAGCAGTGCGCATCCACGATCCCGTAAGCAAGACTCCAAACCATGGCCTTCGGTCTCTCGCGCTAATTATTAACTTCTAGACCACTGAGCCGGTATCCAATCATGTTCTCACTAGTGACTAGCTTCAAGATAGATTTCCTGGAGTTCTAGTGAGAAGCCGTGAACAGTGGAGTCTAATTCGTGTCGAGTATGAGACAGTTATCCACCTTCGACAATGAGTGAAGGGTTGCACAATATTGTGGAATGGTTGAAGCTAGACATTAACACCGTTGAATGACAGCTCAGTGCTCTAGAGTTTGGGTGTTCGCGCGTGAGACCGACGGTCCTGGGTTCGAGTCTTGCGTGCGGGATCGTGGGTGCGCACTGCTGAGGAGTCCCATACTACGACAAACCGGTCGTCCAGTGCTTTCATGTTTTCAGTGGTGGTCTAGCTTAGATCGACTCATGAATTCAGCTATTAAGATTATTTATGAATCGATTTAATGAGAAAAATATCTTATTTAACAAATTTATTTCATTTATTAAACCATCTCAATAATAATAGTTAGAACAGTTAAAACTCATAAAAAGCTGACTGTCCTTACAAAATTAGCAACTAATACACATCCTAGATTAAATTGCTGGCTATGTTTCGTCCTATTTGGGACTTGTCTGCCGGACATACTGATAGTAATTCGTTTCACTTACTCGATCTTAAAAGAAAAGAAAATATATATTGATACTGATCTTAAACTCTGGAAAGGATATTCAGTGAGTAGTTTTTAATTAGTACTGTTTTGTAATCGTAAAAAGCATTTGAGAATAAATTCATTCAATCTGATAAGTATGTCTGATGAAAATGGTAAACATTGGTGTCAGTCTAAGTTTATTTTATATACACTTAAGACTATTATTATTATTATTACTAATATTGTATGAATAATTTATTTTTACTACTAAATTTAATAAGATATGAATGGATAATGATGAATGGAGGTGATGTACCAGAAAATGCGTTAGTTGCTGGAATAAATAAATTCGGTACACCATTGTACATTGTAAAAGCAAGAATTGAAGGTGAAGTATCTGTTGGGAAAGTGAGTTTGATTTTATTGAATGTTGATGTATATTTACTACAGTATGAGATACTTTCTTTAAATACAACTGATTACCGAATGTAAATACAGTAATTAAGTCTGTTTAAACATTTTAAGTAGCCAATGTAAAGCATAATTGTTCCAAGATTTTTATTAAAGCTACTTTTATTGGAAACCAGAACGTCGGTTGTATTCTATTTTCGGCTTATCACCTGGGTATACCTTGTATTGATGTTCATATTGAGACTCGAATTTGGTCCATTTCACTTAAAATGCTGACATGTTATCTAGTGAACTACTGGATACAAAAAGCGATTCGCTTATAGGTCCATAACATCAACAACAGGTAAATATAAACCCTTACAAATAATTTTTTTTCATTTCAAGGGAGTAATCATTTGACGATTATTCTCATTCCACAAAACCCTCTTCTAATAATAATCATCATTTGCTCACTAGTGACTGGCTTCAAGAGGTAATTCCTGGAGTTCTAGTGAGAAGTCGTGGTCACTGGAGTTCAACCAGGTCTAATGTGAGATATCAGCTTACTGAAGACAATGGTGAACGGTGGCGCAATTTCGTGAATGAGTTGAAACTAGGCATTACCAATGTTAGATACCAGCTCAGTGGTCTAGAGGCTATGTGTTCGCGCTCGAGGCCGACGGATCCTGGGTTCGAGTCCTACGCGGCGAGGTCGTGGGTACGCATCACTGAGGAGTCCTATACTAGAACGGAACGGCCATCCACTGCCTTTAAGTTTCCCATGGTCTTTTAGCTTCAATCGACTCATAGATTCAACTATTAGACATCAACTGAAGAAATGTTGATAAATAGGGAAGAAATTGAATAAATTTTTAGTAGTAGATTTAAACGTTTTGAATATTCTGTTTAATTTTCTCAATCACTTTTTAAGTGGATATTATTTTTAAATATCCACAACTTTTTCTTAAAAATCAAATTAGTGGAAAATCAATTAGTTACACTCAGCAAATCCATGTTAAACGTTTACTATGAAATGAAAACATCATGTCATAAGATGAATTCATCGCGAGACTATAATTTATGAACGAACCAATAAGATATAAGTTAACATGTCTTGGATCTTGGTGCGAAATTCATTCATCCATTTAATTCTAATTCATAACCTGAACCGTCAACTGTAAATCATAATCCTTATTCTTCACATAGGTTTATAACTCCCATTTAGCCACGCCAAGTAGGTGAACTCCCTCAAGGTCACTTAAACGTCACTAAAAGGTCTTCCATGAACTAATCTAAACTCCTTATCCACGGCTTAACCAGGTAGATATGAAAGATGTTATTTGATAATCATAAAAAAGTTCGGTAAAGTTAGAAGTCTGAGATAAATTGATTTTAACTTAATGATCTAAAGGTATCTTAGACTTTGAAAGAACTAAAGTCACTTGCTTCAATTTTGTTCGTTCATGTTTCCTATTGATGAATAAATCTGAACCAAGATGAAATGGCTGCTTGATGATCTATGGTTTACACGCAAACTGTGATGATTTATAAGATAATATGGTGTGACTGTAACTCATTAAGTTAGATACTGTTAAAAGACATTGAATTGAATCATAGTTCTAAGCTTTTAGCATTGTAATAGCTCAAGAACCAATTTAGTATTATTACGATGATAAAGGTTATTATTATATTACATTTTTTCTATTAAAATATTTGATTACTGAGTCCGCTTACTGTCACCCGAGTTATAGCCAGTAGATTAATTATTGCTTGATATGATGGAAAGAAAAGTCAATTTTCGATTGAATTACAATGGTTAACATTTTCATTAGTTGTCCATTGCTCTTAAATCTTCAGTAACTGCCTAAACAAAATAAGTTCATGGTGAAAACTAGGAATCGTAAACGGAATTTCTTGAAAGGGTAAACTATCAAAGCGTCAAAAGTTCTACTGAATAGTGTTTAAATAATAAAATTAGTTATAGCTGTAAATCTGAAACAAAAACTTGACTCAATTAAACAATGAATGTGTTATTGCAATTAGATGTAAGTAAGTAGGAAAGATGAGGAGTATTTCTAAAGTTATAGGATGTTAGGTTCGGTGTGGTTAGCAAATGAAGTAGGCGATCCTTTAGCTTAAAGATACATAGTGAACAGTGTAGAAAAAAAAGTCAGCATGAATCAAAGTCCACTAAAATTACGTTCAAAACTTAAACTAACTCTACACTTATTATATTCCAAACAGAATAAAAAAGCTATTTAAAACTGAAGGACTATGGCTAGCACTGAAGCCATAGACATGAATTTTGTCCTACTTAAGGCTGGTCATCTAGTTGTACGTGCATCATTATATAATGGCTACTAATGTGGTGTGAACTACTTATATTGATATAAGTAGTGTATAACGTGCGTTAAAAGAACGTGATGTCTGGCAGCAAATAGATGGCGAAGATCAAGAAAGGTGGAGCGAGAACATAATGGAATTTGTAAGAAAACCTATGAACAATGGAATGGGAGACAATGGATTTGTGTTTGCAACAGAAACAATTCAGTTTGGTTTGATGCGTGAATATTTTGCAAATTGACGATTTAATACATGGTATTCAGATATTGTTGAAATAGACTGTAATTGGTGTGCTAAACACATCCGTTTGTCTCCACCCGTGTTCTTGTTCACTACACTAACACAACAACTCACACAGGATGCATATATGTTAACAAAAACTGATAAATTTCCAATCTCCAACATAAACAAACAAAATAATATCAATTTTATGGATTAATGCCTATAGGGGAAGATTTAAAATATACAACATAAAATAAATTTATTGAATCTTTTACTATAGTTATTATTCATACATTGTAATAATTCAATAATGAATCACTCCCTCCCCCTTCATCTCCCTTTTGTTTATTTTATCAGTTAATTCAAGGTGAAAGCTCAGGATGTTTTCCATGGGGTGGAGATGAGCATAAATGTGAATATTATGAAGTACTTACTTTGAAATATTGAAAAATAAACGTGACATTTGTTTATTTATTATAAAAAAAATTTGTTTTAACAAACAAATGTATTGAATTTAAAAAATGATCTTTCTAAATTTGGCAATAATGAATTATTTATTATCATTACAACTATACTAAATAAATAAATATGAAAAGTTTATTTTATATTTTGAAAGTGTATACCGATCTGTCACTTTGATATATTTGACTATTTCGATAGTGTAATAAGAAGACAAAGATTATCAAAACTATATGTGATTTATTAGCACAATCTGATCACATGTAATATACTTCTTATAGAACATTTATATTTAGAAATAGAAGGTCATTTAAACAAATGGAGATGTAAGAGGAGACAAAGATAATAAAGAAAATAATGTGAAAATTCATCATGCTGGATAATGTGTTAATTTTACTAGAGTAGATTTAGGGTGAGAACAAACTGTTTTTGAATACATGAAGTGGATTTGAATTTTCGTATAATTAAGGCTTCAATAAACTTCAGTATACTTTTTGCGTTTGAATCCCGCGAGCGGGATCGTGGATGGGGACTGTTGAGGAATTCAACAATAGAACGAAATGGCCGTCTAGTGCTTCCAGGTTTTCAATGGTGGTCTAACGTCAATCAGTTCATGATCTCAATCAAAAAACCTAATAATCTGCACAACCCTATATTGACAATTATTTTTGGACTGAAACTATTTTTATTCTTATACTACTGAATTTGATTTCGTTCACTAATCTGTAATAATCATTGTGAATATAAATCCATATAGAAATATAGAGTTCAGTTAATTCTTAATATATATTGAACTTAATTCTTATCATTTCTGCAAGGTTATATGGGCCATTATGTGATTTCTACATAAAATCTTTTTGTTACGGGTAGTTAAAGTAAATTTTGAGTCTAAACGATTTCAAAGAACTCAATTTTATGTTGTTGTTTTTTAAAACCTTTTATTAATTAATAACTAGTCACCTACATTAGAGAAATTTCCATTTTTTACCAGACATTACACGGTTATTATTTTTGTAACAATGTCAATGGAACTGTTATATTATTAACATTAACGATTGGTGTCTAGGTTCTTTGTTTTTAAAATCTCAGCAATATTGCTACTTTTGTTAATATTATTTGAATCGAACTGTTAAATAGTTGATTTACTAAAAAGATGTTAAATTAATTCAACATGTATCTAAACTGCTAAGCTATGGTAATGATATACACGCTTCTTATATGGGTACCCAAATCGACTAATTGTGTTAGAAAACTAAGAATAAGTAGGAGGCTTTGATTGGCTAAACGAATGTCAAGTCACATTTTTAACCAGTAACGTTCACCCATCAACATATCTCACTAATTATTTAGCTTATGTCTGGTTGGCCCAATGTATTACTCTTCTATCTTCTTTTTTTTGAATTCGGCTGCATGAATTAGGTTAGGAGTACATTTAAAACATAACAAAAGAAAAACAAACTTATGCTTAAGATAGTATTAATTCATTTATTATTCTTTACATGTATTTCACATGACAATCATTCACTTTACGATAGCTATCATAGATAACGGGATAATAGAAAGAGTCAATGCCATTAATCGTAAACTATTTGGCAAACTCTTCTTTTTTCGAAAATCCGATACTCCCTGATGTCTCTACAAAAGGATTCTTAGTTGAGGTGTTTAAAACAGGGATATGTGATGAAATGACTGTGATAATAACAATTCTAATTTTGATAAGCATAGAAAGATGACGACTAGCAGTAGAATCTAGGAGGCACGTTTCGTCCTACTCAGGACTCAGCAGAGTCGACGTTCACTCTTGAACCATTTGCTTCAAACGCCATCGCGTTATTTACTTAGCTACTGAATCCAGATAGCCACTGGTTTGTGCAATGGGGAGGGATGTTTGGTTCATTTGTATTGGTTGTTTGAATTTTCCCTACTGATGTTGAGGACTGCGAGTGCTGAGTCTCTTTTTGATATACATGCATCCTGTGTAGATTACCTTGATATTTCAAGAAAAGAGACTGATCAATCGGAAGAGTCAAGAAACCAATACAAATGAATTATAAGTTTCAACTTAAATTGAATAATTATGACTTTTATTGATTGAAAGGTAGTGTTTTTATTTGATATTTGAAACTACGTTTTTGATTGTTTGGAGAAAGTAAGTCAAACAAGCTTCACCCAACACTTCATATGATGGATTTTAAAAATATATTTTATAGTTATTGCTTTTCCCGTCACCATCTTATCACAGTAACATAACAATATCAATGAAGATGTTTCTTACAAATAGTTTTTTCTTTAAAGCTTTCTATTACTGTTTCTACGGTTAATTAATATCGTTTTGAACATGAGTAGTCAGATTAGAGCAGTTTTCGGTAGAATATTAGTTGAGAATCTACAAAGAATAAAACTGTTTTCTAGCATCTCAGTAGGACTAAGTTCTATATAAAGTATACTTAAGGTATTTCTCATTTCGTATTACGAAATAAATCATCCAAATCTAAATTGTCATTAAAGCTTATCTTAAATGTTAAACTAGCAATAGCACTCAAAAATTAGTTTTATTTCATTTCCTAAACGTCGAGTATCTCTCACAACATCACCTATCATAATTATATCAACAACAAAAAACAACAACTTGGAAACGGACAATACTTAAACTATCCCTATTCTAATTCAATAAACTATAATCATAATTCAACAAAATCACTCTAACCATGAAGATTATAAATTATACTTGGAAGTAAGGCTCTAAGAGGAGTATGATAGAGTGGAGAAATGTTTTGTTGAAAGTGGCTACAGGTAAATGACTATGTCAAGACATCATAATTTATAAGTATATTAAACATTTTTTTGTTCACAAGTGCATTGATAGTTAAAAACTATCAAATGAGATCTCTCCAACGGACTGCAAATTAACAAATAAACTAATGGATTGGTAACAAAATTATACTACTATTGTAAATCTAACTTTTTATTATGACCTAATAATTTCTATTAAATAACTAACAAGGCAATCATTTATTTAATATGAAAGTATCTTTCTTAAAAAAAGTATTTAAACAAATACATTTAAACAGTTGATATCATGAGTCGATTGAAGCTAGACCACCATGGAAAACCTGGAAGCACTGTATGGCCGTTTCATCCTATTGTGGGGCTCCTCAGTAGTGCGCATCCAAGATTCCGCCCTGCGGGATTCGAATCCAGAACCTACCAGTCTCACTCCGGGCGCTTAACCAACTAGACCACTGAGCTGGCCAGCATCCAGTGGTGTTAATGTCTAACTTCAACTAATCCACGAAACTGAGCGACACATCCACCATTGTGGTCTAGCTTCAATTGACTTATGATCTCAACTATTGAAATTACTACGAACTCCACAAAACCCCTTCTGATACTATTAAAGAAATAGACAAGAATTATATAACAGATTAGACTATTATTATATATGAATTTAATAAGAAAAATAATTATGATAAAGAAATTTTGTTCGGAAAACATGATTATCATTTGAGTTTTAAAAAAATGTAGGTATTTTTCAATAGTCAATAATCGGTTGGTAACAAAAATCCTGAATAAGAATTGATGAAGTAATAAATGAAGCTAATTAAGATTGGATTTTTTTTTATCCTAAAAGAAAAATAAATTCAATTTACGATAATTGTGGTTTGGGTATTGTCTGTATTTTTCTCTTTTCCTTTTCTTTATTTTTGTAATCATTTAATTAATACAAGAACTTCATAATGATGCATTTTTCTTTCTTGACCACCATAAGGAAAATAAGCGCATTCATGACTTTCATGAACCTTTTCAATAAAATCAATTAAAATAAGAACATATGAATCTATTATAAATGTTTGTGTTATATAGTTTACATCATAAATTGACCATAATAAACTAATGATGATTTAAAATCATTAAATAATTATTTCTTCTCTAGTATAGGACTGTTTAGGACTATGTACAACTGTTAATTAAACTGTATGATTCAAAAGTCTATATAATTTATCCTTACTTATAAATGTTTTCGTTAGATATGGGATTAACTGATAAGAGCATATTATATAATGGAATATCTGTTTGATATTCATAAATGTGCTTTTTTGTATTTGTAAAATACCAGATCACAATTACTTGGTTATTTGTCCTTATTAAAGTACTACACGAATGTACTGGAACATATTCAGAGCCAATCTTAAAGTCAAAAAAGTCATAACAAAAACAAGAACTGTATATTATTTGAAGAAGCTTTATGGTTATTCAAATTGAATGTTAGTGATAATGTGTCTAACTAGAGTACTGAATTAGAATCAATAAGACTGTATTAGCCTTGCTAACACTACATGTAAACCATTCAGACATGTATCAACCTACATGAAACTAAAATTCAAGATTTTATGAATCTTACATCATATAAAGTTCACTAGTGTGATTACATTACAGAGTCAATCAATAAAATTGAACGTAAATCAATAAATAAACCTCATGGTTATATGTATTCTCCGGTAATGAAAGTGTTTTATTTCACTCAGTTTGAAGAAAAAGTGTAATTTGAAAACTGAGAATTGAAGAGAAAAAAGATGGTTCAAATAATTTGTTCATAGTATCAATTTATTGATTATATCATAGTATAATAATCAGTAAACTAAGATAATGTACGTGCTACTCATTTAAATTGCGGTTAGTTAATCGATTTATTATTATCATGGAGATAATACGTTTGTTTTTGTGATTTTTCTAATATAAACTGATAAGAGTAGATGATGAAATTATGAACTATGCATTTATTCAATATACCGGATTAGTCATTCGTTCTTTCCTGTTTTACAAACTATGTATATTTATAAATTCACTTGGTGTTGTTTTTAATTTGTACCTTCCCAGAGTGATCATCAATTCTGGGATACAGATACATCTAGCTGACGAATCCCAAATAGGATGAAACGCGCGTCCTGGATTCCACTGTTAGTCACTATCCATCAATGCTCTGCATATTTATTCTTATATTGAAAAAAGAATAATAAACAAAACTACAATGTCGATTTATATTAGAAAATAGATGGATTATGGTTGACAATGAAAACCATTGTGAGAGTTTCATTCTCTCTGGGACTAGTCAACTCTATATACCTGAATCTTAT